TGGAGCGTATAAAATATTGAAATTTTAATCTCATTCATTGATTTTAATGTACGATCTAATACGACCTAGTACGACAGTTAAAATTTAAAAATTAATGTACGACCCCAGTAAAAACACATCGTACACTATCGTACATACACCGTACTATACATAAATTACTAAATTAACCTTATTAACTCAACAATAAATTAAAATATTCATTAACAAAATAATCGTAAATAGACATCGAATAAAATCAGAACCCCACAAATGTTCTTCCCCAAACCAAAATATCTGCTGCTATCGAGATTAAACAGAATCCCTAGTTCATGTTCTGCGTCATCGTCTCGCCAGCGGAAGAGCGCCGAGGGGGAGTGTGTGTTGAGGGAATTGCTTCAGTAACTCGTTCTTCCATTCTCTTTTAAGTTGTTTCTTGCTCACGGCTAGAGTTGAGAAATTTGAGCAATTGCTTCGTTTTCCCTTTTTTAAATGGTCTGTTTCTTGTTGCTAGAATCGAGAATTTGGATTTTGTTCGTTAAGCAGGGAATTCGCAAATTGTTTTATGTTTCCAATATTCGGCAACACGACAATTGACATGGGGCAGGGTCTCTGTATGTTTGGTTACATGTATAAACTACCACAATTTGAGAGTTACAGCCAAAAAGAGAATCAATACGTGGCGAAAACAGTAAGTGGTTGCTATTGTTGTGATGACGAAGCAGAATCGAAGCATAATCGAGGAGAGAGATATGTTTGGAAGGCCAACTTGTTGTTGGTTTCAGAGGTCTTCGTTCTATTCGGTTGCCATGGAGACTATAAAATCGAGGAATTTTGTGCATCCAGATATGGCTGATGATGGTCCAACATGCATAGTGTCTCAAATATGAAGTTTCAGGCTTAAGATGCTATAAGCTTTCGGATGATTCTTAACAAGAATATATGAAATATTTTTTTTTTGTGCTTTGAGGAAATCTCTAGCTTACAAGAAAACAATGTATATATATTAAGTATGAAGCAAACCTCAATGATCCTATTCTTTCAATGTTTTGGTGATACAAGTTCGAAACGTTGTTCTTAAAATTAAAAAAATACACTTGTTGACCCTTGCGGCGATTTGTTTTTTTCCTTTCTTGTTATTTAGTTATTTTATAAGTATTTATTATTGAACTTGTGCATTGACAAGTGATATCTATGGAGTTTTAATTTGAAGCAAGACTTTGAGTTTGTAGCAAGACTCTGAGATTATCTTAAGAATTTTATTTTACATGTTTTGAATACTTCTAGTTATTCGTATTTCATCTTGTATGTAAACTATACATGTTTTATAATTGTTGTTGCGACTTTAGGGCTTATTCAATATTTATAATATTGAAAAAATAGGTAGGAATATAGATTTGGTTCATTTGCATTAGTGGACAGAGAGTTTCAATTCTTAATAAAATTGATTATTGTGAGATAATTTTTAATCCATATTGAGGATACTTTGTGTTTTGATTTCAATGATGAATTATGGGTCTAGCCAGAAGTAAACAAGCCATAAAATGTTAGAAATCAAAACTGATGAGATTGTTTTCAACTAACAGGACCCAAATTCTTATGTTTTCAAACACATAATTATTCATTAAAGATCCGAACTTCACTCTCTCAAATACAATAATCCAAAGCTTCACGGCCATAATTCCTTGAGGCCATTACCAATTTACATATACTTAACGGGGGGGAGGAAACAACAACATTGCAGTTCTAAATTTGGACAGCAAATCGAGTACATATATAAGCCATTCACTGCCAATGACCACTACGCAGTATAGATCTTGTAACACCTGTAAGTCATTTGTTGTTTATATCCAGTGGTGGCAACAGTGGCAGTGCATGCGCTAACAAACTCCCCAGGTCCATCTTCAACTTTAAAATAATCAACACATCTTCAACTTGAGAATAATCGAATTATGCTGCAAGAAATCTGGAGGATTCCCCTAAAAGTTGGCTGCGTATTAAATTCAAATTTGAACAAGATTGGCAGAATGTGGTCTCTACGGGTGTAACAACTTCGGCCACAAATTCGACCTTGATCCAGTCTGTATTTCCAAAAGTTGTAGACCCTTCTCCTGAATTTCTTAGCATATTTACACTTCACATTTGGAGTTGAGACGAAAGAGTTATGTTGTCTTACGTAGAGGTGTCTAAATTGTTCGAAAATTGCCGAAATAACTTTGTTTTGCACGTAACTTCGTTTGCTCCTATATCGAAATATGACAATAATGAGCACATTTAAGCACAAAAAAAGGACGATATATCAAGAGTGAAAATTATAACATTCTACATTATGATCACCAGACTTGCTTAAATAGTATCCAGGATTCCTCGGGGGCATAATTAACAATTTTGTGGATACTCGGTGCCATAAGTTGATATCTAACTCCCATTTAGATACCAGTGAGGATGGTAACACCTATACATTTAATATACGTGCAACTCATTGAGCTCTGCAAAGGAAATAAAGCAAATAGAAAAAAAAAAATTGATCTTACCCAAACAAATCATAGCAACATTACGATCTTTATCAAAACAAATGCCCAGCCATAAAAAAAAAAAAAAAAAACAGTATCTACCGTTAAATATTTGAATCGGGACAAATGGTATACCGCATTGTGCAAACTAATTGAACAAGAAAAGCAAACACCTAATATTCCACAATCAAACTAAAAGGCCATCCCGTTCAGGGCTTTTAAGAAGTTCATCGGTACGTAAGTATATATGCCTAAGTATATATGCAGGAGATCAAATTAAAGAACAGTTCAAAGCAATGCAATCAAAACAAAGAGGGGAAAAAAGAATATTGAACCCGACTTTGATCAATTCACCAAACCATGAATTTCTGGAAAACACGAGGTCATAAATTAAGTCTTACACAAAATTATAGCAAACAAATTCACATATACGAACAGAAGTATATGACGAAAAGTACTTGATACTAAAAAACGAACAGAAGTAAAAGGGTATAATTGCAGAATCCAAAGGAAGATCCGATATAAGGGTACCTTTACGAGGATCACAACATAGGTTCACAATTAGCCGAAGAAGAGATGTTGAGAGACTCTCAATCGCCAGTCGGAAGAACGGTGGGAGAGGGCAGGAATGAACGAGATATGAACGACGGATTTTATGATAATGATTATTGATATGTGATCGAATTTAGTTATTAATTATTAAATATTAATCTGTAATTAAGTTTTAGTTTTAAGGGTGTTTATGTAATTTTGCTGAAAAGGTAGGTTTCGTACTTTTTTTGTTGGGTTCGTACTTATCCTACGTGGCATAATTCTATTGGTGGGTTACGGTCCGAGAAGTACAACTCTCTCGAACCCTAGACAACCCCAACTAAGAAAAGTATAGGTATACTTTTGTTAAAACGGCCCACGAGAAACTTTAATCAAAACTCGTTAAAGTTTTGGGCCCAAATACGAATTTTTGGATTGGGCTCAAACTTAATTAATCATCGGCAGCCCAACTCTTGGAGATGCCCAAATCAATTAAAGCTCACTCCAGAGCGAACTCTCTTGATCTTGAACATCCATATCACAGTTAAACATCTATAAATTAATATAGTTTGGACCATCAAAATTTCATTAATTTAGCGAAGTATTAACTTATCGATAAATTAATAATTATTAATTTATGAAATTACTTTTATTAATATTTTCAATAAATACATTTTTTTTATTTTTTACATGTATATTATTCATTGTACCATTAGTTCAATGCATTATAGAGCCCGTTTCACGAACGGAAGCTCTTAAAGCATCAATGGTATAGAACGATTTTATGTTGAGTTATGAGAAAACTATACCGAAAGTTCTAACAATGTTAAGAAAAATGAGGGACGAGATTGATGGTAATGTGAATTTCAACAAGAAACAAGCAACAATTAAATTATATTGTATTAAGCTTTCATAGATCTATAAAATATGTACAATACCATTTAATTTAAGAATTATTTTTATGCATTATTAATTTATATATTATGTGGGGCTTCTTAAATTTTTCGAATGTGTTATCTTATAAATTTAGCGAATTATTAATTTAGCACGTTGTCCCCAAGTCGGGACCTGGAAAATTTATTATTTAAGCGAGGTTATTAATTTATCGAGGTTCTACTGTACTTTGTTTATTTGCGGACGTCGTCCACTCTTTTCAGACTTAACTCTCTCCTCTTCTGAATGCGCCGCTTCTCCCTCTTTCTTTCTTGCCCTCTCTCTCTGATCAGTACTTCCGTCACCAGCTAGATTTTCCCGACAAGTCTTTACATAATCTTCGACTTAGATGGTTTACTTTGACTTAAAAGTAGCTTTGTTGTCTCATACCATTAATTCTCTTCATATTTATACTGCTCTTAGAGAGAGGGACAAATGTGCCACTTACCTATATTCATTTCAGAATTTTCTTATTTCAATCTCTTTCTTTTGTGAATGACTGAGTCTATGAGTGAGACGGAACTGGTGTTTATTGAGTGTAAGAGTGTTCCTTTTGAGTGTTTGATTGTACATATGTTGGTGAGTCAACTTTGTGTGAATATTGGGATAGATCTAGAATTTTCTTGGTTTTGAGTGATTGTGGTTTGGTGCTGATTCCCGATTGGAGTCGCAACCTTCTTGAATTTCTAGACACTAGACAATAAGGACCGAACACTAGAAATAAGAGCGTGGACCTCAACACACACAAACTGAATTGAAAGTCTACCTATATTTTCATGTAGGTGTGTGATCTTCTAACACTTACCAAAATAAGGAAGTAAATCATTTTTCTTGGCATAACAAATCAACAGCATACTCCACACTCTTAGCTTATTGAAATTGCTATAAATAGCATATACTACAATCAGATAAGGTTATTATTGCCAACTGACATCAACACCAATTTCAGCACCAGAAATATTCCAAGCAAAAAGTTAGTTAACGAATCTTTTTCCTAAACAAGGTTTATTCTTCCAAAGAACAAAAAAACTATAAATAGGCTAAACATCAAAGTAGCAACTCCATCATAATATCAAACACAAAACATTATATCCAAACACATTCAAAAATTATTCATCATCTCCCTTAGCCTAAAAGAAAATATTTACAAAAAACCAAGTCTCAACACAAAAGTCAACAAACATGATAAAGACGAAAAATCGAACAAGTCCTCCATTCCAGAAAGAGTGGGTTGAATATATATAGAGACACAGTTTCAAGAAACTAAACCGAACAAAACCCACGATAAATAAATTCGAACCCGATAAAGATAGCTGAATAGGCATGCAGCTGAAGAGGAATGGCAGGACACCAGTCTCTCTACTCTGTGGTAGTTAAATATATCACCCTTTTTTTCTTTCTTTTCTTAAATCCCGGCATAGTATCTACTCAGACTCTAATCAGTGGGACCCGCTTCGATCCTGCACAGCTAGACGCTCACAGACATCAGCCAAAGATTTAAGGTTACAATTGATCAAAGCCTCGACGAAGTAGCATGTTTCGTCTTTAGTGTTGCCATCTGGCACATCCACCACAAAAGACTCGATCACCATTGTACCTGGCCTTCCATCTATGGTCTCTGGATGAACGGTGATTATTGAAGAGTAGTTCTGCAGGCAACGACAAAGATTATAAGATCTAAATACAGTTTCTCTTGTGGTTAATATATGAAAAGATGTATAAAAGAAAAGGACAATATTGCTAAGGTTGCACTTAATTAAGAATCATGAAACCGTAATTTGAGTTTAACTAACTGGAAAGACCAATCAAAAGTGCGCAAGTTTGCACTGTGGAGGCAAATCAAACAGATTCATTTTCAGTTCGTCGTAACACTCGTGCTTTTGCATCATACAAAATGCTGAATTCAAATCTTGTTTTTCGAAGTTATTTATCTACATGTGCGGAAAAAAAATCGAAAATCGATAAACAACACCCCTGTTTACATTGAGTTAGTTCATAAAACTCCACCAAGTGATGAAAATTAAACTTTCGATGCATGACACATTCACACACACACACAAAAAAAAGATTCTCAATTTCAATTATTCAAAATTAGAAAACGAAACGTAGCCATCCCGATTTCGATTCTTCAACCACTAACAATTCCACAAGCTTTCTAGGATCAACATCTCAAATCCACAAAAACACAATTTACAAAAAAACCAAAGCAAGAACACCAACCAAATGAATCCGATCACAAATCCACAATCAAACATAAATTCAAACAAATAATCCCTAAAAAAAAAAATCAAAGGTAATGAAATAATACCTTGAGGCGGTGATCGCCGCCGACAATCCTCATGCTAAAAATATGCTCTTCGTCGTCCAACAGCTCCAGCCTCTCCTTGCTCGTCGTCGCCGGCAGCCCAGACTTCACATTCACCTCTCTAACAGTACCGATACGCAAATCGCCCTCAACTATACACCTACTCACGAACGGCTTGTACCTCTGCGGCTGATCAAATCTCCTCACTAACGACCATACCTAAACAAAATTAAATCCAAATCGAATCAAAAAAAAAAACGCCCAAAATCAAAAAATTCGTCGAATTAATCGTAGATCTGGTACAGAAACGGGGAAAATCGGCGGTGAAATTGAATAAAAAAAAAACTTACGATTGGGAGAGGAGCTTTGATGTGTTTGACCAAGGAGGAAGTGCACTGGTTATCTCTGACGTCATGCCTATGGTGTCTGGTGATGAAAGCCTCCTCCGGTCCGCCGGTGCGGCGGTCGCCGTTCATCGGGTTGACCATTGTGAAAAATCTACGGTCGGGATTGTACCGGAAAGAGGTGGGTGGGAGTGGATATTGGGGGAAATTGTAGTGGTTTGAAGGGGGCGGGGTGGGGGTGGGGTTGGGGGGTGGGGGGAGTGAATGAGAATCAAAGTGAGGGGGGTCAGAGCTTTCACAACAGTCCAAAAGACACCGCCATTGGCACCTGCAAGTTGCCTGAATGGCCCAATTTTAATTTTTTAATCTTTCTTTCTCTCTCTCTCTCTCTCTCTCATCCACTAAATTAACAATGAATAAATAATTATTGGATAAAAATTTAAAGTAATAAAAAATTTGAAAAAATGCAAAAGGTGGCGTAGAAAGATGTGGAAATCGGGAAGATTGGGTCTGAATTAATACTTTCGGAAAAAATTCATTTTTTTTTCCTAAAGTACAAAATAATTTCAATTCGATTCTCAATAAATTGGGAAAAATCGGATATCGAAATTCTAAAACTGAAATGAAAATAACCGTTGCGAAATTGAATTTTAATTTAACATTGACATCCACGGAATTCGGAAATTCTAAAAGAATATATATATTAACCTAAAATTGATATTCATTGCAATTTTTGGAATTATTTTTGTAACTTAAAATCGGATTGTAAGTCGGAATATCGTATATATTACAATCCCGATCCAAAAAATCGGAATTAGAATATTCGGAATTCATAATAAAAATAAATATTGTTCCAAAATCAGCAAATTTTGGATCGGAGAAAATCTCCACCCCTAGGCGTAGAGGAGTTAATTAATTGATAGTGAAAGTTTACTCAGTGCACCTATATAGCTTGACGCATATCGAGTTTGTCATACATAGTTTGTGTGCCACATCTTACGTATGAGTTACAAGTTATTGTATGAGAGCGAGTACACTTACATGATTGACTGCATATATATTTTCTTTATAATAACTAAAAAGAATACGAGCACGGCTATTTGGTGCAGTAAAGATAACACAATTTCTATAAACGCCAATGCAATTTTTTTGCCAATATTTTTTAGATCAAACTCGTCGCATACTAGAGCTGGTTTTGTTCACATATGTCTTTTGCGTTTTCTTTATGTGGGTAAAAGGAAAAAAAGAGAGGCAAAAATAATGGAGTTGTTAGTTAAGCAAAATCAAGTGGGGGGCATGAATAATATATATGTAGAAGGGGATTGGTTAGAGTTGGGTGTAGGGTATTTTTTTTTACACTTATTGGTTTAAAATGGAAACCTACTTTTTGACAATGGCTGCAGATATTTGCAAGACGAAAATTACTAAGTGCAAGACCTTACTTCATGCAAGACCAAAATATAAATAAATTTACTAAGATCAAGACTGGAAATTACAAATATAACCCCAATAATAATTTAGATATTATTAATTTAAATTAAGTTAATTGCTATTGCAAGACCAAAAAAAAAATACAAAAAAAAAGAATAAAAAAAAAAAGAAAAAAGAGAGGGAACTCACTCACCCAACGAAACACCAACATCTTCTTCTTCACCCTCATTTTACACATTTTTTTCCACAAAAAAATCTTCCATATTCTCCAAAACCCTTATCACATAAAACCCTCAAATCTTACTAAAACTTGAAAAGGACATTATGGATACACAAGACATAAATATGGAGGATTCTAAGGTCGAAAAACACAAAGAGGTAAGAAATATTGTACTTTGTGATCGTTTTTCTCGTTTTTCGCACCTCATTTCACGTACAAAAAAATCGACATGTACAGGTCGAAATATCAGCTTTATATCGACACTGCAGTGTCGAAAATGTCAAAATAATTCGACACCCATTAACTGTCGAATTATATTGAAATTATCGACATTCTTGTGTCGATATTAAGCGGATATTTCGACGCTAGTGTGTCGAATTATCACTGTTACAATTGTGTAACCAATTTTCCGATTTTTCTTGCAGAGTTTTGTACCAGAAATTTGTTTAAACAATCGACACCAGTGTGTCGAAAATTTTCCAAAAAACCGACAAGTACAGGTCGATTTTTGTAAAACCGCAACTCCTTCAACATTAGTGCTACAATCGAACCCTAGAATCATCAACTATGTTCTAAAACGACTTGAATTCATTATTCTAACAATAAAATCATGTTTATCACATTTATTTCTCAAAAAAAAGTTAATTCAAAAAGTAATTTTTACTTGTTTTTCGTGAGATTGTTGCGGCGGGGTTGGGGCAACAACGGAGTTCAACGGCGACGGGCGACGGCGGTGGACTTCAACGGCGACGGCGACGACGACGGGGCGACGGCGACGGGGCGACGAACGGTTTTTTGCTGCAATTGATTTTTTTTGTTTTCTTCAATCTTCCCTCCTCGTTTTGATTTTGTCAATTCAATTTCTTTTTTCTTTTTGTTTTATTAATTTTTTTTTTAAATTGGTCTTGCAAAAGAAAATTAATAAAATAATTTTTTTTTTTTTGTATTTTATTAAGGTTATTATAGTCCTTTTATACTGAATTTAATAAAAAAAATTAAATTGGTCTTGCACTAAGTAAATTTCGTCTTGCAAATAGTCGCTGCCTTTGACAATTGAAAGTTGGTTAGATTGCAAAGAAAAGACAACTATGGTGACTAATTTAGTAAATTACATTAGTAAGCTTCGTACGCTTGTGATTGAGTCACAATGGGCAGGGGTAAACTGGTAATATGTTTTCTTAGAGTTGGCTATCAATTTTTGTTTTTTCTTACTTTTGATATTCTTTCTTTATTAAGAAATGATTCTTCTTTTCTTCCTAGCATGCCCAATCTTCATTTATAGTATAATAAAAGGCGAATTCCAATTTAGTTTCGTGTTTGAATTTCGACTGCAAGAATTTTACAAGCTCGTCGTTGTTACTTACAGTTGACAGTTGATTAAATTGCGATTAGCAATCAAATCGAACTCGAGTTAACTTCAAATCGAATCGAACACAAATCAAATTGTGTGTTTGTGTGTGTGATTATCATCTTTAATAAATAAGAATGTGTCACATGCTTAATTTGTTGCGTTAACTAACCGATCATGCAAAAAAGATGGATCGTTCGAGAAGGAGATACGATGAAACGCGACAATAAATAAGAAGGTTTTCAAACTCATAATAATATTAACTAAGGAATCCTAACATAAAGCACATGTTTTTACATTAAGGAAGAACAATTGCAGTTTACCTTCTCGTTTTTATTCTCGTCTTACCAGTTTAGAGGGTTCTTCGACCGCTGAATTTTTGAAGCATAAGAACTCTCGATCTCTTCCTGCAAGACACCAAAAAATTGTTTCGAATTTTTAATTGCAAGATAAATGTAAATGTTGCTATATTTCAACTAAATAAGGATTGGTGATTCCATCTCTAAAATCATACCTTGCATGACTTTAGCAGAGGATGCAAAAAGGATGACCTAAAAAATTTGATTGATTTCCCGAGTGACGTATTTTCCAGTTCTGCCATAAGTTCAAAGAAAACGGGGAAAACGTCACATTGTGAAGGGATAAATTGAAAATCAGATATACATACAAAGTTGCAACCACACACGCACACAGAGATAGCATCGAATTGCAAAGTTTGATAATATATACCTTCATCGCCCGGGGGTCCCAAAGCTCCCATGTTAAGTTCTTCCAGAAGCTGCAGATTGGCATTACATGTGTATCGATCGTCATTTAATTTCACTATATTAAAATTTTGGAGATACGAATATAAACATCGAATTGCTCACCTTTGAAAGAGTTGGCACAGTTAAAGGATCAAACTGTTCGCATTGCTCTGGATCGATGGGAACACAAACACGGCCTGGAACAGAATACGAGACAGTGTAACATGTAATTAATCTTAGCTGGTTAAGAATTTAATGTGACAAGTAAAACGGCAGGTATTTCTATATCGTTGATAGTAACATATTGAAGATTAAAAGCACGTTCAGTGTTTTAACCTGTCCCGGGGTGTACGCAGAAGGGCGCCTTCAGTAAGTGATTCATATGTTTCGAAACCTGTAATTGCAAAGAAACAAAAAGGAAAAATAAATCATGCATAAATTTGAATGGGATATTTTCAATAAACGAAAGACGAATACGAAGCAGACCTCCAAATCAAGTCTGGGATATGTGAAGGTAAGCACAATCTCTTCAACGCACCTACGAATACTTGGCACCTAAAAATTCAGACAAAATATCATCTAATTTAGAACGACGGCCACAACATCTGAATAAATCAATTACATTATTGCCTAACCAAGAACTTTCGATTTTTGCAGAAATGTCTTCGATTGGTTGTTGAACGAGAAAATATTACATCCTTAATAGAAAATAGAACCTAAGCTAATTTAACAATACCTTATGCTTCCCTGATTGCAACACATGTTTAAGATGACCCCATCGGACAATATTAATGTCATCACGTGGCCGTTTGTTATCCTGCCACTTCCCTCGAAGCTCCGAAGTAATGGCTGCCAAAGTCAAAAAGCAAAGAAGGTTCTAAATCATTTCGACAGAAAAGGAAAAGGAAAGCAATTAGAAAAACGTCACTAACTTACATTCGTCTGGAATCATTTTTAAAATCTTTTCATATCTTTCCTCGTCAGAAAACAAATTTTGGCTCGAAATATATGTTCCTTCGAAGAAGTCTTTCAAAACTTCGGCATACGATCTCCTGTAAGAAGTAGAAATCTATTAACTTGCGAATTTCAAGAACTAGAGAGCATATCAATTATATCAATAAATTGCTTACCCTAGGAAAGGATGAAGTGAATGGCCCACTAGAGAAACTTTTTTAAGGCTATTTTCATTTCCCTGAAGAAAATCAGTACATTTTCAGAAGGATGTAGATTATAGAAACTATACTAATGAGAGTTAGATGTTCAAAGAGAATTCGAGAAAAATAAAAACCTTGCGGACATGTAGATATTCGGTAATAGCGGATCTTTGTTCGTTGTTCAACCTTGTCAATGATTAAAAAATAGTATAAATTAATATCGAAAACTATCAACGAGGGATTACACCTTCAATTAACGGACAAATTACCTTCTTGCTTTCCCGTCACAAACCCAACAATGTACACCACGCCGACCACTGTACACCCATAAAATGTGGTTAAATCCAAAGTCATCTGCACAGAGCAGCATATTAAATCAGAGTATTACAAGCAGATCTTTTTGCACATTCATATAAATCATTTTTCCTTTGTTAAGAAGGTATTTTCAGACTTTCACTTATCACAATAATTAGTCGGAATCGTTCTCTTGTAAGAAAAGTTCACCATCAACAAAAGATAGAACTAGCCGGACCCAGTGGATTTAAAGCACAAAAATAAGTACGAGCAGCACGATAAATCCAATTTTACATGCAACATGAAAAATAAGCTGAAAAAATACACACAAAAGTCATCCTTTACTGAAAGTCGAACTCAAACAAATGTGCGC